AGAGAAAAGCACCTTACAATCTCTAACATCCCAAGCTTTGCAAATTTTCAGGCTTAGTATCCAGCTTTAGTGCCTCCCTTTTATTGTCTCTCTCCCCCCCCTTTCACCTTCTCTCCTTGCTATTTTCTTTACGCTGTCTAGATTTCAGTTTTTCTTACTTTTGAGTTCTCCTCCCACAGATAGATCTTTGTTCTAAAAAAAGAGAAAAGCACCTTACAATCTCTAACATCCCAAGCTTTGCAAATTTTCAGGCTTAGTATCCAGCTTTAGTGCCTCCCTTTTATTGTCTCTCTCCCCCCCCTTTCACCTTCTCTCCTTGCTATTTTCTTTACGCTGTCTAGATTTCAGTTTTTCTTACTTTTGAGTTCTCCTCCCACAGATAGATCTTTGTTCTAAAAAAAGGACATCCAAACATGTACATCATCTCTTCCCCCCTTTCTCTCTCTCTCTCTCTCTTCCCTCGCTTCTCTTCCCTTCCTACCATTCTTTTATCCCAGCCTGCGCCTTGACTTTGTGGAACAGCACATCAGACGTGCCTGGGTTGTGTTCCTCCTGATCCACATTCTGTTCTCCGTCTTCTCTGGTGGGACTCGGGAGGGGTGGCATGCTTGCCCCATCTGTAAAACGATTTTTTCTTTCTTTCTTTTTCCTTTCCTTTTTCTTTTTTGTTTTGATTGAGGGGGAAATTGCAGGGGAAAACACTAGGAAAAATGGCGTTCCCAACACCCACCCATCCACCCCCCCAATCCCAAGTGCCTGTCAATTCCCATCTGATGCAGTGAGCAGAGGTGGGGGGGTGGATGGATGGGTAGATGTTTAGGGAGGGGTGACTTCTTAGAGAACAAAGCCACTGACAGCAGAGCTGGGTCGCAGCAAAACCAGAAAGCAACTATTCAGTCCCCTCAATAGCTCAGTTCGGCTGAAAGACTGGAATTTGAACAGATCGATGTCCCATTGGCTGCAGACCTCATTGTTCCAGCTTAACTGCATTGGGGATCGAGCTAGTTGCAAGGCAGGGGGAATGGACTTTCATCTCTTTGTCTCATCGTGAAATGGACAGGATTCCTTGAAAAGGTCAAAATTTCGAGCCTTTCATATCCCTTCTTTTGCAGTTTTACTCTGGAGAGGGTTGAACTTTACTGCCGGCTCGCTGGCATCTCCGTCAATCATCCTGATTCTCTTAGGAGAGGTCAGGCCCGTGGTTTCAACATGGCTTCAAGCCGGCAGGCCTGTGAGGTGTGTTTACTCCCTAGTGAGTTTAGCACAATCCTTTCTCGCCAGCTGCCCACTTTTCCATCCTTCATTGCTCAAGGATGCTATAATAAGGCAAGGCAGGCAAACAAACATAGGATTGGGATGATGATCTGAGCTGGTGTAGGGTGCATGGGGGTTGATGTTAGTGTGCATGTGTGTGAGAGATGAGCGAGAATAAGAGAAAGCTTATGCCTTTCCAGTCTCTACGAGCCTGTAGAGAAAGTACACTTTTCTTACCAAGAAATGCTTCCATGTACCAAACAGTTTGAAAAGGAGTGGGTTTCTTTCCTTTGGCTCATGGAACCAGGTGGGGGGTGGTGGAGAAATCTGGTCAAATGGCCACCTCCCTCCACGAATATTGACCTAATAGCCTCAATAAATAACTTCCTTTTTCTTCAACTGATTATGGTCTTTATGTGGGTCTCGAAGGACTGTGAGAAATATAGATGGTGTGTAGAGCCAGTTTTTCTTGCTTGACTTCGTTGGTGCATGCGCAGTCTTTTGGAGTTTCACAGGACTCTTTAGCATGTAGACTTTTCTTAACAGGACTGAGATCGTAACGTGACATGCATCTCAGTGGAAGCAAAATCTTTATCATCAACAGAATTTTTTTTTAATCGTCCAGAAAATGTACTCAGGACCTGGGTAACAATTTTAATAAATAGATTCACCTGCCGTTTTAAGCCTCTATGAGACTGCCCTTGAGTAGGTGGAGTTGTAAATGGTCTGACACAAGCTTTTGGTTGACTTTAAAAAGCCATTGTTTCCCATAGACAACCTTCTTAATAGCTTAAAAGTTTGGAACTCTTGCAAACTGTTTTCCCATCCGGCTACATTGGGGATTTCCAGTTTAGAGAAATGCTTGTTTTCAGTTTTGGTGTTCCTTCTTCTTAGTAAGTTGTTCTTCCTCACTTCAGCTTGCTTTCGTTCTGGGTTGAAATTTAAGACCTGGAATGTCTGAACAGCATCTGTGTCTCAAAATGAAGTTGGTGCACAAATGAAGTTTTCTCTTTTTTCAAAACTGGATCCAAAATAAAGGGGAGAAGGATGGGGTGAAAGAGGAAGCCATTCTAGCAACAGGAGGTAGTAGCAGGGGAGGGGGTGGGGGACGAGGAGAGGAACCAACAACTTTTGTGGTGCCGAAGGACATTTGAAAGGCAGAAAGAAGCTCTGGCTGCTAAATAAAAGGCTTTGCTATTGAGCCGAGATGCTTTTAGAGTCGGAAGGGAAAACGGTGGGGGTGGGAGGGTGGGGAAGATAGTGTTCCAGCCAGCAGGGGAAGCAAGGAAGAGTGGATTTTAGGTGGAGAGGGGAGCTGGAAGGCTGGGGGTCTGGTTGCAAGGACTGAAAAAAGCTGGAAAGAGGATGAAAGTCTGTCTTGACTTTAATTTTTGTGACTTTCCAACCAACTCTTTTCCTTCCCTTATCAGAGGCAGCAGGTCCATGCACTGGGTAATTGCATTCCACTTTAATCAATAGCTGGAGTAAATCTACTTTCTAGGTCAGTGAGGGGGTGGGTGTATACACATCCCCTCCCTCTTACCACCCCCCCACCCACTTTTCTACTTGCCTAATCATGAGAGCAGCTGTACTGGTATAGGGTTTGTGTGTGTGCATGGAAATCTAAGGTTTCCAGATGAAAGATCTCTCCAGATGACGTGCATTGATCAGCAGTGGCTTGAATGATCGCGTCTTGTGAATATAGGTTTTGAAATGCAAGAAGAATATGATATGTTAATTATTTTTTTATTAAAAAATGCATACTGGCATGCAAGCTTGTTTAAATGCTGTACCCTTTGACCTTCTGTATCAGACTTTAGAAGTGTGAGACTGCTTGTCATGGGGGGGAAAAAAATTCTGCCGACCCTCCAAAGCCATTCTTTATTGCAAATTCATAAATTCAAAAGCTGGGGGCTGAGATGTTCATTTTGACATCTTTTTGCAAAGCTTCGTTTCCCTCTTTCCCCGGGAACAAGGGACAGTCACTTACAGTAAAAGTGCTCTGGAAGCCAGACTTGTCAGAAGAACATTTTCTAAAATAAAAGACTCATCCGATGACAGGGTTTGAAGCCAAGGAGGGCTGTTATCTTCTGTGATGCTCTGATCTTTATGATCCCTTGGAAGTGACGGTGGGATGGGGTGGAGGAGAAGCATCCTGCGTGTACGTAGCTTCTGGAGTGAAGGGCCGTGGACTGGAAATAAGGGACCTCTCTGTCGTTAAGGTTGCGGCTGCAAAATGAGCAGTCCTCCAGAGTTCTGTGGTTTGAAATAAAGGGCATTCATTCCTGTTCTAGGGGGCATTTGAGGCCTGTGAAAGGAGGGAGGGGGGACCTCCATGACCCCGTTCTAGGACTGTAGTCTGAAAGAAAGGATACCTTGCCAAATGAGTGTGGCTTCTGCTATTGTGTCTAATTGAAGAGGTTATAGTTTTTCTCCCTTAAATTATTTTCCCATAAATTGTTCATGAGTGTGCATATTAAAACAACGATTCAGTTTCTCAGACACCCACACACCCACAATGGGAACACACTCCCCGATCTGCATAAAGGAAACTGTCTCTCTGTGTCTGTGTGCACACGCCTGCCCCCGCAACCGGGCCCTTTTATTCAAATTGTGCTTACTAAACACTTTCT